CCCTAGCCCCATAGCCGCCCCGCCGCCCAGAGAGGCCACCGTTCCCCAGCAAGGACGACCCGGCCAAGAGCACCCACCCATCTGCCGACAAAGCAAGGGGGCAACCAGGGCGGGCCCCCGCCACAGCAAAGGGGCCAACCAGCCGGCCCAGCACAGCCCCCAGCCACCACCAAAGGCCACCAACCCAATCCCCACCCCAGAAGACATACTACACCCACCCCAACGTTTGGGCCACTATCAGAACATATAACACAAGGACACCCAAACAAATATCATTTAACCTCCTGGGGTCCTGCACCCTAATGTTGAGGTTATTGGTTTTAGATCAATTTTCTTTATACGGAGGGAAGAGGTTTTAAGTTTTAGTATTTATTTTTAAATAAATCATCTACCTTTTGAATTCATAATTGATCAAAACAATGTCTGTTTTTAAGATGTTCTACATTTCCTAAATAGCCAGGGAAAATTAAAGATGCACACCAAGCAAAAACTTCGGACTTGAGATGATAAAACTGTCTGGCTAGGGGGAGCAAGGGGGATTGCACTCCTGCATTTGTAATAAACAACAAACCTTCGTCAAACCAAATAGCTATTTGAGGTTTTTTTGGGGGGAAGGTTATGTTTTTTCAATGCAGACTTTGCATGTTCAAGATTTGGGAGAAAAGAAGACTCCAAGCAGGATGCTAAAACAGCAGTCTTTCTGTCTCCTTGTGTCTTCTGCTGGAGGTCAGATCTTTCAGAGTATCAGATCTATAAACAAGCTCTTCCTGCTTGTTTTCAGCTCCTGCGATGAAAGTCGAGTGAAGAAGACTACACTCCCTAAAAGTGAGATCACCATCCTAATTATCACATCATCTTGCACAACTGAAGGAAACTGTAATCCGTCACTGTCAGAGTACTGCATTGGTCAATCATCGCTATYGGAAATAACAGAAAGAGAAACTCTGATGTCTGAGGAACAAGATGAATGATCATATAACTAAAGGGAGTCACCAGAGCAGCGGGAGTTGTACAGGTTTATTTTGTGGCTAACTCCAGCTTGATTAATGCCCACTGAATGAAAAGTGATCCAGCTACGTCAGAGCAATAATTCACCCTGCAAACAGTTGGTGAAAATCCTGAGGGGGGATACTTGTGGGTTTACAACATAGTAAAGATTTTGTCATTTGACATCAGTTGATCTTTATAGTGAGTATGTTTATGCCTCATGAATCAGCTTCCACACATCCCCCTTCAGGAGATGAGGAATACTGTGGATGCCTGAGGAATAAAACACAATCTCTTCTAAGGAGGAATGAAGATGAATAAAAATATAAAGTCAGAAGGGAAAATTGATATTTCCTTCATACTTCAAAAAACATGCCATGTATTGAGTGAAACTGGAAAAAAACATCATTTATTCTAATGCAAAGTTGCATCAAAATCAAATGTTATTCAGTGTTTCCCCTGGAGTAATGGCCTCGGGGACATTTGAACACGGAATGTTTGACAGCAGAAATATTATTTGTTAAAAGAGTGTGTAAAACATTAAAAAATCTGCAATTAAACTTACATTAGTTGAATCTTATATATTTCTCACTTAAATAACTTGTCTAATAAGCACCGTGAAGCCGATTAAATGTATAACGGCCTGCCATACATGTGAGCTTCTGCATGCAGCCAAAATGATCTGRTGCGCTCCCAGAGCAGAAGCCAGCTGCTAAATTAGCAAGATGGACTTATGGGCAAGCAATGTCCACATCTTGTGTTCATCTCCGCATTAAAAAAAAAAGAAACACCAAAAAGATGTTGTTTTTTTTTACTCCGGTGTGAACAAAACAACTATGGTTGCATCGCTCTAAGCAATGTAGGATGTAATTTCTCCCTCATTCCTTACGGGAGGGAGCCAAGGAGGAAGAGAGAAATTATGAGGAACTATCCTCCATGACAAAATACGTATTTTAGTTATACAAGAAAATATTAAAACTTGTTGTGGTAGTACACTAGAAAAAACAAACAGTCTATAGGCCTACTTACTCCTGTAATTAATACAGCCCTTCAGTTTTATAGTTTGGGGGTGGGGGGGGTGATAGGTGAGGCTTTCGATTCTGTTAAGAGAGCCCTTGTACAATAACAGTGGAAACACTGTTATTTGTGGCGTGACATACTACGCAAATACGGTCTTATATTTCTGGACCATTATGCCATAAAACTGAGTATAAAACCAAAACCACCTCTCCTTTTCCTCATCAGAAGTTAACACAGAGTCCTGTCCACACAAACCCTTGCATGTTTATATTGTGTCGCACACACAAATTTGTTCAAATGTCAAAGATGATTTTTTTGTGTCCACAGGTGTTTTCAGCACAGAGTCAGATGTGTGACCTGATTCTGGAAATAGACAAGGAGAGGAAAATGTGTGAGGCTCAGAGTGAGAACAGAACGACAGGTATGTGAGCATCGTGTCTTTGTGTGTGTGTGTGTGTGTGTGTGTGTGTGTGTGTGTGTGTGTGTGTGTGTGTGTG